ATAACAGCCATGGGAAAGGATAGGTCCACACCCCCACTCATTCCATTCAGCATTGAGGAAACACCGGATGTAGCAGAATCTTCACCACTCATGATTTCAGATTCAAAAGCAACTCTTAAATGGGGTACACAGCCTTAAAGTGTTGTTACAGGTGCTGTTACAGCACTAACAGGTCATCCCTTGACTTACTAGTTCAACACTAGTGTTGCCACAGTGCATACAGGTATCTCTTGACATATGCATCAACATCAACAGAACTACTGTTACAGCAGGTACTAGTCACTTTCTGACCATCAGTTCACCATAAAAGCTGCTGCTGCAGCACACAAGAGGTACTGGTCACTTTCTAACCCACAGTTCACCATAAAAGTTGCTGTTGCAGCACACAAAAAAGGTCCTCACGACCTACAGTTTCACAGGGATCAGTCGACCTCACAAAAAAAGAAAGAAAGAGGTGTTGATCACCTCACATCCAATCGGCAGACCTAGTACAGGGTCTGCCCTAGCACACGACCAGAAAAAAAAGGTAGGAGAGAAAGGTTACTTCAATGTGTGAGATCTTCAATCAGCCAAACAGCAGATGAGGGCGGCAGATCTGGAAATCTGGTGCGAAGAAGAAAAAAGACTGTCCGCTCGACTTCTCCTTTCAGATCTAGTTGTCTTGCTCTGATACCATGTTATGCAGGAGAGAAGAATGAAAGAAGAGAGAAAAGAGAGAGAAGAAGAAAGAAGAGAGAACTGAGAGCAAAAAGATTACTGTTGGCGGCACAGCTTTTTAATATATATACTAGGGCGACAACAACTAAAATAAAATAGGAGCAAAAGTACAATAATACCCCTGCAGTACTATACATAGGAAAAAATAACAGCTGTTAACATTAGTGTTGACTAAATTAAAGTGATTTTACCCCCTAAAGAAATGTAGTTTCTTTTTCATCCTGCTAACCTCTTAGAGAATCTCTCCATCATTGGGTACCAAAAACTTTCTAACCTCAGGTTCCCCCCAATGGTAAACCTACGTATTTCAGGGGCCAATCACTTACCTCACAACCTAGAGATCTAGCCAAAAATGCCACCTTTGCTTATTGTTTATTAACTCCATCTACACAACTTTTATTCCAATTTACACTCAAGTTGAAGACCTTTTCAAAGTTCTCTACTAGAAACTTTAGGTTTTCCATCTCCTCTGGGTCTCCTTCACAAAATAGGATCAAATCATCAACAAATTGAAGGTGGGTAAAAATTATTTCCTCCCTCCATACTCTCCACCCTCTAACCAAGTCTATAGCATCAACTATAGAGATTTGAACACTCAAAACATCCACTATTAGAGTGAAAAGGAAAGGGGAGAGAGGGTCCCCTTGTCTTAGTCCTCTCTTTGTAGGGAAAAAAATCCCTAGCTACCCCATTAACCAAGATGGGGTAGTGGCAAGAAGAGATACAACCCTTAACCCAATTACACCACCTCTCTCCAAATCCTCTAACTCTCAACACTTAAAGCAAAAATCCCCAATCCACCAAATCATAGGCCTTTTCCAAGTCTAGTTTGCAAATTAACCCCTTTTCTCTGTGTCTTTTTTCTATAATCCACACATTCATTGGCAATAAGGATCTGATCAATAATTTGTCTTCCTGACACAAACGCTCCTTGGTTTGGAGAAATCATAGATTGTAGCACCTTTTTGATTCTCTCTGCTAAAACCTTTGAGATTACCTTATACATACTACCACTTAGGCTTATGGGCCTAAAATCCTTTGGGTGACTTGCATTTGCCTTTTTAGGAATCAAAGCTATAAAAGCAACATTGGCTCCTGAATTGATCTTACCTCTCTCAAAGAATTTAGAGAAAACCTCCATTAAGTCACCACCTATAATGTCCCAGCAATCTTGGTAAAAGGCCACCGTGAATCCATTTGGGCCTGGGGCTTTAGATCTTTCCATTGAAAACACAGCATTTTGTATTGCTTGGGTCTCAAAATTCTGTTTCTAGCTCAGCCATCAGATCTTTGCTTTCCAATTGCCAATCAAAGTCAGGAATATCTTCTCTCTCTCTTCTTGGGCTATCATATATGGATTTAAAGTGATCCACAAAGGCTCTTGCTATTTCCTCCTCTCCTGTTATAGCTATGCACTCTACCTATTCGATCTCTGATCTGAAAGGAACCCACTTCATGTGTTTAATGGATTCCTTGATGTAGCTCTGTCAACGAACTGTTATTTCCCTGCTTTTTGACATTCCCATTACTGACTTAACAACTGAATCACATGATTGTTAATGTGCTTTAACCAAATAGGAACTGGTTCTTAGTTCTGTTCTGGAAAGTATACTTAACAATTTTTTTACCCAAATGGTTTTCAAAGCAAAAATACCAAAGTAAAAGAATTTTATGTACCTTGTACTTTAGTACTATTAAAAGTACAAAACTAGAAGTCTATCCAAACATAGCCGATGTTTGTATAGTACTATCAATAAGAATTTCAAGAGGAAAGAAACTAACAAAAGAAAGAAAAGGTAATTCCGTTTTAATTTTATCCTCATGATCGTTCATTTAAATTTAAATTACAGCAGTGGTAAATAGTTTTCAAAAGGCAGCAAGGTTCAGCCGTTCAGGACAATCATTCATTTAAGCAAGGGAAAAAGGATCTCATACTGTAGTTGGTTGTCATGTCACATCAAAAGTCTGCCCACTAAATTAGGAGGAAGAAAGTACTGCAACTACAAAATTTACTTTTTTGTTACATCAAACTTTGAAATTAAATGATGTTGTAATGAATTCATATCAAAATCTAACAGAAATTGTGGATTTGGGTTTCAACAAATTGTCACAAGGAAATCATGGAGAAAGAACTGTAAGTACCTGATGGTTTTGAAATTCTCAATGCCTAGAAGAGAAAACATGTGAGATAGACTGCCCTATGGAGTATGGAGTCTACTTAGCCCTTGTTGTGTTGAAAATAACAAATGAACAAATGAAGAACTAATATGAACAAATTAATACAAATGAGTAGTGGTTTTATTTTTTCAGTTTCAGCCCTGACACAAAAATCATTTTTCCAGTTAATCTATAAAGTGCATAACCTGGATATAAGATGAGTAATAGTTTAATAATTCATCATGCCTGCCCATCAAATACATTTCAGACCTTGAGGGGTTAACATGAGGGATTTCAGATGAGGCTGCAACTGGAGTCCTTTTCCTTGATCCCAGTTGTGAGGTTCACACACCCTCTGAGACACTTCTTAGAACTAACTATAATCTTTTCTTATCATTGTAGCTTGTTGCAAATTATTAGTATAAATGGAGCAACACCACTAAGCGGAAGCAAATTCTTTAGGAAGGAAAAGTGAAGGTTCATTTTGCATACCAAATACTTTGGTAGTCAATTTAACAGGCCTCATTTCTTCTCCAAATCTGCAAAGAGGTGTTAGAAGGATAAAATAAAAATTAAATGGACTCGGCAGTGAAGAACCAAGAATTGTGATTAGTCAGCATGACAACATCAAGATCAAAGAGTACCTTTTGATCCCATGCACTGGAACCATAAGCCATTCAGCTGCAGAGATCAATATGGGGCAAGAAACACTCAAAATGTATGAAGTTTTGATTATTTCAGATGAAGTAATACAATATACCTCATGCTATTTTTGTTACAAACACTTAAATTTTACCGAATATAAAATTTACCAAGGTCTTCAATATTTGGGATAGTGGCAGAAACAGCAAGGAAGCGAACATGGGCCAAAGGACTTGATTTCATTTCGGGGTTGCATGCAAGCATCTTTATTCTACTAACAATTGCTTCCAAAGCAGCACCACGTGTGTCACTTAACAAGTGAACTTCATCAATAAGCACAAGTGCTATATCACTGAAAAAGCTCAAGCCACCATCTCTTATACGGTACCGGGTCACTGCATCAAACTTCTGTGCAAATGATAAGCCATGCTGTAGCAGGACATAAAATTCAAGCAGATGACAAGTTAGTAAAAAAGGGCAAAATCCCCAATTATTTACCTCAGGAGTAGTTAGAATAATATCTGCTTCTTGTATATTTCTTATGTTATAAGAATCGCTGTCACCTGTAAGCTCCAAACAATTGACCCCCCATGAACCAAGCTTCTGGTTCCAATCCCGGAGCTTCTCTTGTACCAAGGCCTTTGATGGAGCTATATAGATCTTTTTTTGCAACATTCAAGCAAATGAAAGAAGGTGTCAGTCTTTGTAAGGGAATATATTTTACCAATGAAATAAAATACCAGGCAGAAAGGCATAGATTTCCCCTCAAGCATGCACGTTCAAAGACTCAAGATGTAAACTGTTCTATGTCAATTAGAAGGTACTAAATGCTAATCAAGATCGGTTATCGACATATAATATGGCTAAATGCACCAAAACTGAGATTTAGAGTTTCCTTGAGAACATTTAGTTTAGACATGATCAGAATCAATAGAACAAAATATCAAGAACTCTTAAATGAAAAACTTGATTGAAAAAGGCTTGATTATGGACGTTTGAGTCTTAAGGAATCTAGAGGTAGTTAACGTACTGTTTTGAGAGTTCCCTTTATATGAATGAACTTTCCTTCCTTTGAGAGGAACTTTGAGAGAAGCCTCAAAATGCACAGTTCAAATAAGACCGTTTTACCACTACCAGTTGGTGCTGAAATGACCATGTTTATGTCAGAGAGATAACATCCAGAGAAGCACTCACTCTGCAATGAATTAAAATATCTGCATGCAGAAGAAACAAACCCATATTAATTCAAACATTTGAATCTCTGTGAATTTCAATTCAACATGAACATCTTGCATTTGCAGTAACCATTTGTTATCATAATGCAGCTGCAATGCTTCTCGATATCACCACATCTAAGAGTGATGCCAAATCAGTTCAAATTCAAGCCAAAATGAAATACATAGAATATTAATATTTTAAAGCTGGAACTGATGTTTTGCCAGAGCCAAGTTAGCAATTAAATTCTTACATAGTTATCATCTATTTAGCTTACACCATTAGCTATATATAATTGGTACTGACAAGAATACAAAGGACGAAAACCACATTTCAATTGGACAAATAATGCCATATAAGTCTAAAGGGATCAGAATACGAAGGCGCTTCCTTGTGTTATAAAGTTTGGGCCCACCATAGATTTGGTTTCAAAGAAAATGCACCTAACCTATGTTATTTGAAATAAAAAGATTATTCAATTTGTATTATTATGCAGGAAATTCCCTAAAGTCCAAATACACATTTGCAAATGATTTTCAGAAAACAATACATGACCAAGATAACAGATTATTTGTATGATCCAATGTCAAGGTGATAAAATACAATTGATTGGGAATAGCACCTGAAACTAAAAGTTGAACGAAAAGGTGCAGGCAAATCTGACACAGACTTTAGATCATATGAATCAATAGTTGAGCTCATCTCTTCTAAGACTGATGTTAACAAGAGACTAAATGAAGATCACTTTCACCAACCTAAACAAAAGAGAATAGCAAAGTTAAGTTCTGCTTTCAGACAGCTGCTACATTCAAAATGATTTGCATATAACAGGAACAAAAATTATTCTAAGATACAAAAGTGGCCTATGGGCATTCAGATGAAAGCTAGCATTATTCATTGTTATAAATCATGAATAGAGTATCCACGTAGAACTTGTTTTCTTCATTGGATCATACAAATAAAGCTGCACCAGATTATGAAATGTGTTTCTATTTTCTCATCCATCATAATGCAAAATTGTACATAAGAAATTGACAAGCAAAAAAGAAAAGTATTAAAAGTTGACTGGTAATATTTAGTTTTTCAATTTTCTGGATAGACTAAATCACTGAATTGAGACATGGAAATTCCAATCTAACAGTACAAAACCTCAATCATTGCCACGTGGAGAGCACTTATTTTCAGATGCATAAAAGTTTTTCAATTTGTATCTTAAAAAGCAGTAAAGCACGACAAGCTTGCAATTTTGTCCACTGTTAAGAATTTCAATGGAATCAACTTAAGGCTTCCAGATTTGCAGTATATACATGAAAATACCGATGCATATGTAGCAAGCCTTCCTCTCTTACATCTAAACGAAACAAAATATCAAAATTCATGAAATGCCAAAAGAAATCAGTCCATCTTCTACTGGCTCAAAGATTTTCTTTAGAAGATAAAAAAAAAAGTGTACCGGGATCCCGAAAATGAAATAGAATGCGAAGTTCATCTCTTCTACACATTGTTAAGAAGAGGACCAGTAGAATTTTGTCCACTGTTTAAAATTTCAATGGAATCAACTTAAGGCTTCCAGATTTGCCGTATACAGATGAAAATACCAATGCATATGTAGCAAGTCTTCCTCTCTTACATCTAAATGAAACAAAATATCAAAAATCATGAAATGCCAAAAGAAATCGGTCCATCTTCTACTGACTCAAAGATTTTCTTTAGAAGATTAAAAAAAAAAAAAAAGAGTACCAGAATCCCGAAAATGAAATAGAATGCGAAGTTCATCTCTTCTACGCATTGTTAAGAAGAGGACCAGTAGAAAGAAAAAATAATTCTGAGTTTCTTTCAAATTAAGCAACAGCAATTCACCGATCTGAGTTTCTTAAGCAATCGGAAAATGCTTAGAAACAGAAATCCACACGTTCGACCATAACAAATCAAAATAAGTTCGGCGACACCATGAACACAATCGAGTTCGAAGCAGGAACTCACACATTCGACCATAATAACCAAAACGATACCGACAAACGGATAAACAAATTAACAAAATCGCCAAGTTCAATCTTCAATTCCTCCAACGAAAATGCAATAAAAGCAGGCAGGGATGAATCGATTGATAATCCTGACAGGTGAATGTTACTTGAATCAATAGATCCAAGTAGAGCGACATCCGCAGTACCTAAACCCGTAGGAAGCACAAGCTTTGCAGTTAGAACAGAGAAGTAGAGCGACATCCGCACCTTATTTATACTGTGTCAGTAACGTGTGGTCGAAGCGGTGATGAATAATGAATCGTTCTTTGGCGGGAGATTCTTTAACATGGCACCAGCAGACGTGGCAGACTATTCTGTTTATACTGTGTCATCAAGATATCCTGTTTCTGTTAAAAGATATTACAGCTCTGTGCAGTGTGCAGAGACAGGCTCACAAGTTGGGTAGGCGTGGACTTAGCTAGATAGCTTGGCTTTGGGCTTTGGCAATGGATGATTGTTTTCCTTTGTGCTTTTGGATATAGTAGTGGATGATCGGGTCGCTGGCCCCTCTTTAGGCTTAATTTCTTTCCCTTGTTTTTCCTTCCTTTAGTTTTTAGTCTCCTTTGTTTTTCTGTGTTTGTGTTGGTGTTTGTTGTTCTACCAAAAAATAGACGTGGCAGACGAAGTTCCGCATGGCTAAAAGTTCTATGCTGCTGGAAATACATGATACCATAGTAGGCTAGTAGCTTTGATCTCCTACCCATATCTCTACCCACGCCAAACTTCATGCTCGTATTGAAAATATTTCCCACATTCCTACCCACAAACTCTTCCCACATCCATGCACTTGGTATTCTAAATGTTTTAAATCAGAGATCCTTTGATTGCCCCCCATCGCTGTGGTCTTTGTCACGGGAATTATACTCTCTGTGAAGCTTTATCTGTTAAATTCGGTTTTGTTAGCAGATCTGTGAATGGCGTAGCCGGGACTCAAGAGGCGTACTTGTGTGCTTTATTTCATGCAGAGATACTCAATGCATGGTTGTAAAAAACTGTTAGAAGGATGCGGGCACAGGTTTGCATGCACTGATGGAAGCCGATCTCCCTCAAGAGGAAGGTTAGGCTACTATGCATAATGGAGGAATCCCCTCGTCCCTCTTCCGTCTAATTGTTTGATTCAGCTGTGTTGTGAAGCCTCCTTAGTTTATTAGTTTTCCTTTTTTCTGTTCTGTTGTTATTTCTGCTGTGTCTTGTCTATTTTCTTTTGGGGTGTTCATTTTGGTTCGGTTCGGAAATATAACTTAACTGACATATCGAATTTAAATCGGCCTGGTTCGGTTTTAATTCTGTTAACTCATCTAGTTAAAATATAAATATAGTTTATATTTATATTAATGATTGTTATTAAAATATAACAACATTTATAATTAAAATATATATTATATATTATTATTAATATAAATAGTAATGTTAATATATATATATATATATTAATGCTAATATTAATATGAATATTTATAATTAAAATGTAAATATATGTGTATATTTGGTTAATTTGGTTTTCGGGCTGCATTCTTTTCTCAAACCAAACCAAAAATCGAAAATCGAGAATTTTAGAATCTTAAAAGCGAACCAAACTGAAAATTGAATTGAGTAAATAGCTATATAGGTGGGGCATTTATGTATTTTGGTATTGGGTGGAGAAAGAATGACACAAATGCCCCCCAACAACTATAAAACAACTAGTTTGAGGGCATTTTGGGTAAAGTGATAAATAACTTTACAATGACCAAAATACTCCTCCCAACAACTAAAAAACGGCTAGGTTTTAGGGTATTTTGGGTAATTTAATTATTTTCAATTCCTATAAATAGCTCTATCCTCCACCATTCTCATCAAATCAATTCAACAATTATTTGAATCTTTATCTAGTTCTCATACTCTCTCAAGTCTTAATCTTCCAATCTCTCATACATTATTTGATTCTCTAATTCTTAACTTCATTGAAGTTTCAATAAGAAGAATGCTTGCTTAACAAATAAATATCTCAAGTTAGCAATTTGGGAGGCTCAGACTCTTGGAATTGAAAGTCTTCAACCATTGAAATCAAACTAAGATTCCGAACTAGCAATCTGGGTAAGTGTAATTAAATTAATTTTTATTTTTTTAGAATTAAAAAAAATGGTTGGCTTCTCCCGAAACCAATTCCCCAATGCATTCAATGTCAACGATATTCAATCGCAGCATGGTAGTGTTAACACCAATATGAATGCTATTGATATTGACAGAAATTTCACCCTTAGTACTGAGACTATGAGAAAGAAAAAGAATGCCACTAAGATGATTAGTCAGGTTTGGAAAATATTTAAAGTATAAGAGGTCCAAGGGAAGGGAAAAAATAGTTGTTTTCTAAAAATGTATAAAAGATTTTACCTATTGTAGCAAAGGTGGTACTAACCATTTGGGTAGACATTTGCTCACCCATGAGGAAGAATAAGAATAAGGGAGATAAACAATGCAAATACAAATTGGGCGGGGGGTTTTAGTACTTTTAAATATCCTCAATAAAAAATGATGCAAGAAATAACAAAATACATTGTGCATGCTGAAGATACTAAACTTGAAAATTGGTTATGTAATTCAGTAAATCCACAATTTTAAAAAGTTTATAGGAATACTATTAGATCATATGCTTTAAAAATTTTCTATTCATACAAATAAAATTTAATTTATATGTTATAAAATTTTAATTCTAAAATGAAATTATTTCTGATATTTGGACTTCTAAATTTAACATAAGTTATATTTGTGTTGCCGATCATTTTATTGATAAAAATTAGATTTTAAATAAAAGAATTTTAAGTTTTACTAGGCTTAAATGGCTAGATGTTGGCCCAGCTATTGCTACAAGTATTTTTAAATACTTTGCATGCTTATTTTAATTGATTTTAAAAACTCAACTAAAATCATGTTTAAATGGTAAACTATTTCATATCAAATGTGCATGTCACATCTTAAATTTATATATTCATGATTCTTTAAATATTATTTATACTCATAATTCTAAAATTAGAAATTGTATTATATACATCAAAAGTTTTAGAGCAATAAAACAAGAATTTAAATATTTATGTCAAAATCATGGTTTAAAATATAAATGTTTTATATTATATGTTAAACATAGATGGAATACTATGTTAAAAAGTTGTATTTTCCACAAACAAATTCTTAGTGATTTTTATAATGCAAAAATGCCTACTAATGTTATATTTGAAGAAAACTAGAAAATGGCAATTTGTATAAGAGATTTTTTAAAATATTTTTATGAAGAAACTATTGAATTATCGGGCATTTATTATCTAACTAGTTGTAATTTAGCTTATCAATTAATGATGATTAGTGATTGTTTTGCAAAATATAAAAAAAAAATCATAATTTAAAAGTATTATAGAAATAGTGGAAAATAGATTTAAAAAATATTGGGAGAACATTTTTCTTCTTTATTGTTTAACTACAATATTATATCCTAGGATTAGGAAAGATGGTTTAAATATTTTACTTGAAACATATTGTGAAAATATGAATATTGAAATTTGAAATAAAAAAGAGGAAATTAATAGTTTATTGTTTGAAATGTATAGTTTATATGAATCTGAAGTAATAGGAAATAATAAAAATTCTACAACTTGTACAACTGCATTTTTCCGCTTCAAAACTTGAGTCCAGTAGTGGAAGAAATTTTTTTTATTTAATAAGTAAGAGGCAAAAATCCACCGCCTCAACAACAAGTTCATTTATTGAACTTAATTTTTATTTATAAGCAATTTTGTCTACTTAAGGTGGTTATTCCTTCACCTCTAAGGGAATAAATAGTTTTCATATTTTAGCCTAGTGGAGTGAACATGCAAAAAATTGTCCAGTTCTTGCCGCCATGGCACATAATCTATTAACCCCTCCGGTGTCTACAGTTCTATCGAAGTATTGTTTAAGTGTAGGTACTAAAACAAGGTATGACACATATTTTAGTGCAGACACATAATCTACTAGGATATTGGACGACAACATAAGTTGTATGAATGATGAAAGTCTAGAGATGTGCATATGCTTTAAATATTGGTTGGATGCTGAATATAGATTACAAGACAAAGGAGGGCATGACACTACACCTAATGTTTCACATGAAGCAGATGATCTAAGTCAAGAACAATAGGAGAAAATGATGAAGCCAATATTTTTTGTATACTCAATAATTTTATAGAATTTTTTCAATTTATTATAAATTTTGTTTTAGTTTTATTTAATTTATTGATTTTTTTAATAACATAATTTTTTATTTTCAATTTGTAACTATATTGTATTATTTATATTTTATTAATTTATTCCATTTTCCAAATTTCATATTTCATTAATCCAACCATTGTATGCTTTGTATCATTCAAATCTAAATGAAATAAAATTCCAATTTGTTATTCACTTTAAGTCTTTGTCTCTTTGACTTCTTATTTGGTTAAGTATTTTTTTTTTTCATTTCCTTGTTAGATTTCTTATTTTTTCAAATAGTTTCCAAATGAAAGTTAAATATTTTAGTTTTACTTAGCAAAAAAATAAAAAATGTCAAAAAAAAAAACAAAAAACCAGTCTAGCTCAGTTCGGCCCACGCCCAAGGCCCGGCCTGTGGCCTAGCCCAGTACAGCCTGCAACTCACCCGGCCCAGGGCCTATACAAGCTTGGGCTGTGGGTCGTGCTGAGTCAACCCCAACATGGCACATTTTACACCTTTAGTCCAGTGTCTACAATTCCATTGAAGTATTGTTTTAATGTAAATACTAGGGTGTTGGACAACAAAATAAGCTATATGAATGATGAAAGTCTAGAGATGTGCATTTGTTTTAAAAATTGGTTGGATGTTGAAGATAAATTACAAAACAAATGAGGGCATGTCACTACACTTGATGTTTCACCTGAACAAATGATTAAAGTCAATAACAATAGGAGAAAATGATGAAACCAATATTTTTTGTATACTCAATAGTTGTATAGCATTTTTTTTCAAATTATTGTAAACTTTGTTTTAATTTTTTTTAATTTATTTGATATTTTTAATAACATAGTTTTTTTTTATTTTCAATTTATAACTATATTGTATTTTTTATATTTTATTAATTTATTCCATTTTTCAATTTTCATATTTCATTTATCCAACCATTGCATGCTTTGTATCATTCAAATTTAAATGAAATAAAATTCCTATTTTTATTCCAATTTGTTATTCACTTTGAATCTTTGTCTCTTTGACTTCTTATTTGGTTAAGTATTTTTTTTCATTTCTTTGTTAGATTTCTTATTTTTTCAAATAGTTCCCAAAGGAAAGTTAAATATTTTAGTTTTACTTAGCAAAGAAATAAAAAATAAAAAATAAATGTAAAAAAAAATAGTCTAGCTTGGTTCGGATCATGCCCAAGGCTCGGCACGGTCCTGGCTAGGGGTGTTCACGGGTCGGGTTGGGTCAGTTTCTTGGGATTTTCCCAACCGACCCGACCTGGTTGGGTTAGCTAAGGTGGGAACTGAAACCGACCCACTGACAAGCCAAACCGACCAGGTCGG